TTCTCCCTCTGACCCTCCTCCCTCTCATGCTCTCTGTCTCTCATTCTCTCTCTCTCAAATAAATAAATAAAAATCTTTAAAAAAAAAAAAAAAAACAACAACAAAAAAACCCATCATTTAAAAGACATAATCACACAATAATAAAGCTATGTAGATCTTACAACAGCAATTTACTCTTTCTGAGCAGCATGGGGTGAAGAAAAAGACACAGAAATTCAGGGTCACAGGGGCGCCTGGATGGCTCAGATGGTTAAGCGTCTGCCTTCGGCTCAGGTCATGATCCCAGGGTCCTGGGATTGAGTCCCGCATCGGGCTCCCTGCTAGGCGGGGAGCCTGCTTCTCCCTCTGCCTCTGCCTCTCTCTCTCTCTCTCTCTGACTTTCATGAATAAATAAATAAAAACATTTAAAAAAAGAAATTAAGGGTCACAGTCAAGTCCTGACTCGACTACCAGTCCTGGCTCTGGGTGACCTTAAGCAAGCTACTTAATATCTGCAATAAAGCAGTCAAAAAACCTTCCCAGGGGTGCCTGGGTGGCTCAGTTCGTTAAGCAACTCCCTTTGGCTCGGTTCATGATCCCAGGGTCCTGGGATTGAGCCCTGCATCGGGCTCCCTGCTCGGCCAGAAGCTTGCTTCTCCCTCTCCCACTCCCCCTGCTTGTGTTCCCTCTGACACTCTCTCTCTCTGTTAATTAAATAAATAAATAAAATCTTTAAAAAAAAAAAAAACACCTTCCCAGATGGCAGTTATATTAAATGATGGAATCCAAAGCACTGACTGCTAATTGGCACACCACAGACATAAACTCAAGAAACAGGGAAAGGCCGTGGGAAAGGAATGACCTTTAGGAATGTTCTTTATCTCCGGGGCTCCTGGTTGGCTCAGTCGGTCAAGTCTCTGACTCTTGATTTTGGCCCAGGTCACGATCTCACGGTCATGAGATCGAGCCCTGTGTCGGGCTCCACACTCAGCACGGAGTCTGCTTGAGATTCTCTCTCCCTCTGCCCCTCTCCTCGCTCACACTCTGAATAAATAAATAAATAAAATCTTAAGAAAAAAAAGGGATTTTCTTGATTTCCTGTCATTTAACCTGTTCCTTCGCTTAGCCTCCCCATCTCCTTTAAGGGCACTCATTGTGCACACAACTGTTCAAGCCAAAACAGGAAGGTCATCTTGAGGCTTCTCTTTGCACACGTTTCCACCTCCAATCCATCAGCAAGTACTCTTGGTGTCAACCCTCAAAGATCTCCCAAATCCATCCCCTTCTCCACATCTCTATTGCCACTCCCTTCCCAGGGCACTATTTCTGCAATCAATTCCGAACAGATCTTGCCTTCACTCTTCCCCCTACTAACCATTCTCCCACAGAACTTCCAGACGATTTTTTTAAATCCTCATGAGATAACAGTAAATATATATATATATATATATATATATATATTAGTCTCTGTCCCCAGTTCCTGACACAGAACTCCTAGAACCCTTGTAATTTCCTAAGTGAGAAGAGCACTAGGAACATTTTTTGCCCTAATACCTGGTCTATGACCCCAGTTCATGACACAGAGTTTCTAAATCCCCTGGAATTTCGAGGGTGATAGCAGTATCTTTTGTTCTAACAAATTGACTCTTGGTAGGCTCCTGGATGGCAGCTGATCACCAGAAAGTCTGTGGATAGCCGCTGAGAATTTTCAGCCCCACCTCCCATTCTCCAGAGAAAGGAGAAGGGCTGGAAAAGGAGTTAGTGATCAGTGATGTCCATGTGATGAAACTTCCTTTTAAAACCCCAGAAGTACAGGGTTTGAAGAGCTTCCAGGCTGGTGAACACATGGAGGTGCAAGGAGAGAGGTGTGTCCAAGGAGGGCATGGGAGCTCCATGCCCCTTCCCAGATACCTTGCCTCAGGCATCTCTTCCATCTGGAAGTTCATCTATATCCATTATCATATCTTTCTATAACAAACTGGTAAACGGTAAGGAAACTATTTTCCTGAGTTCCGTGAGCAGTTCTAGCAAATTAACTGAACCCAGGGAGGGGGTCATGGGAATCTCTGAATGATTTATAGTCTATCTGTCAGAAAAATGGGTAACAACTAGACTGGCAGTTGGCGCGCGAAGGGAGATGAGGGCATCTTGGGGGACTGAGCCCTTAACCTGTGGATCTCACACTATCTCTAGGGAGACAGTATTAGAATTAAGTTATAGGGCACCCTGCTGGTGTCACAGAGTTGCTTGGTGTGGAGAAACCCCCACACATTTGATAAGCAAAAGTGTCAGAAGTGTTCTATGTGAAAGTAGAGACACAGAAGCAAAAGTGGGTTTTTCCAAAACAATCCTGAATCAGGCATTTCCCTCATCTGTAAGAGAATCTGAGCAAGCCCAGTATCATCCAGCCCCCACCTACCCTTCCACCAACTCAAATCCCTCTCCACCTTGTTCACCACACTCCAGACCAATAGCCTTCTTTATACTTTTCTTTTCCATCTCAATGCTTCACAGATGCTGTGCCCTTTGCCTGAAATCCTAAATACCTGGTTCCTTTCTCGCCATCCTTTAGGTCTAAGCTCAAATGTCAAAGGAGCCTTCCCATCACCCTAGCAAAAGCAGCTTGCCCCTCTGACTCACTATCACATCATTTCTTTTATGTTTAAAATTATATAATTCATTGTGTATTTATCGCCTCACTGTGGTCCCTACTAGGGTGTAAGTTTCATGTGGCAGGGATCTTGCTTCCTGGATTCCACAGCTCCCAGAACAGTGCCTGACCTATGGTAAGCCATCAAATGATGGACTGTTAGCTCATTCTAGACAAGAACCCTCCATATTTACAGGAAACCCAAATAAAATATTATTCAATCTACACTGGTAAGTCCCCCTAGTGTCTAATTCTTCAATACCAGAAAACTATTTCTAACACATGACCACAGTCCTGTAAACTGCAATTTAAATTCTCAGTAAAAAACTAACGATGTAATGTATGGTGATTAACATAACATAATAAAATAAATTCTCAGTAAAGACAGTCTCTTTTCTACCTTCTAAAGGCTGACTGATTCTCCTCTCTTTAAGCCTCTTGTCTTTTGTTTCACTTTTTATTGTATTTTTTTTAAAGATTTTATTTATTTATTTGTTTGAGAGAGAGAGAGGGAGAGCAGAGAGGGAGAAGCAGGCTCCCCGCTGAGCAGGAGCCCAACACGGAGCTCAATCCCAGGACCCTGGGATCATGACCTGAGCCGAGGACAGATGCTTAACTGACTGAGCCACCCAGGCACCCCTTGTTTCATTTTTTAATCTCTAATATATTCACAGCTTTCCTCTCAGTTTCCACATACTTCAGGAAAGAGTCTAACCAAAACTGAGTAGTTGGTTAGTGCATCAAAGCATTCAGCCAGTTTAAAAACAGCATTCAACTTCTGGCCACCGTGAGTGCCAGACCTATTCTTATGATCCTGACAAAGAAGTCAAACAGAATCACTTCAGGGGCGCCTGGCTGGCTCAGTTAGGAAGAGCATGTGACTCTTGGTCTCCGGGTCATGAGTTCAAGCCCCACGTTGGCTGTAGAGATGATTTAAATAAATAAATAAACACCAAAAAAAAAAAAAAAAAAGGCAATCACTTCACATATCACATCGCTGTTGTTTTTGCTAAATTTCCTTGTTATGTATTCTGGCTTCCACTTAAACCACTTGCCATTTTCTTCACCTGGCCTGTTCTTAAGGCAGTATATCACTAGATTCCTCAAAGCTGCCAGTATCTTTTTTTTTTTTTTCATTTTTTCTAGGAGATTGATGTCATATGAGTTCTCAGTTTGTATAACAAAGTACTTAAGAGCAGGAAGCACCAAGGAAACCTGTACCTACAGACATACTCTTCAGTCCTATTTCCTCTACCCAGACGATGTGCTTATATCGTCATTTAGTGGATGCAGTGTTGAAGGGTTACAATGTAATCTATTCTTTGACCTAACCATCCCCACTGCTCAACTGCTCCTCTCTGCCTTCAGTCTAGATTAAAGAAGCCACACGCTTTCCTTCTGCAAAGTACCCAGATCATGCCACCTCCCTTCCCTTCCCCCTCCTCCTAACCCATTTTTGAAAAAAAGTCAAAAACCTAAGACAATCTTTTCTATGAGTGAAATGTCACAACTGGGAAATCGAGAATTTGCTGAACTAAGACCATCTTTCCTATGAACCAAGTGTCACAACACTGGGAAATCGAGAACTTACTGAATGGTATCTTGAAGCTTTTTAAAAAATTAGTAATAAACACACTACCCCGAATGAGTTATCCAAAACCCCTTTAAGAATTCAAGTTAGTAAGTCAAAAACAGAAAAAAACTAGAACTTCCAGAAATGTCAAAATTCTTGTTTGTCAAGCAATTGTAAACAGCCTCGAGGCTCCACCATGTATCTGTACATGCACAGGGTTATCAATGTGAAGTCAACACAGAACAAAACTTTTAAAATAACTATATTTTAGTACTACACATACCCTCACTTTTAATCAATTCATAATATGAAGAAACATTAAAAGTTTTACCTACCTTAGCTGGAGGAACTTTTCCAGCAGCTGTGATCTGACCAGTGAAAAACCGTCCGAAATGATTTGATGCTAGTACAACAGCTTTATAACTGAAAAAATAAATAAATATTTCCATAAAATGAAAGATCTTAGACTCATATATTATCCTAAGTCACCAATTAAACTTTTTTTTATTATTATGTTATGTTAATCACCACACATTACATCATTAGTTTTTTGTTTGTTTGTTTTTTTTTTAAAGATTTTATTTATTTGACAGAGAGACACAGCGAGAGAGGGAACACAAGCAGGGGGAGTGGGAGAGGGAGAAGCAGGCTT